GTACTAATTTTTCTGTTCACTGGCCACAATGAAGCATTCATTCATTCATTCATTTTGCAGCATGGGTATGAAACAGCATACCCAGTTTTCCAGCACAGCAGAGATTATTATTCTGTCCTTTTTATATCATTCTTTAATTCCAATACCTCCAAATATCAGTCTGGAATAAATTATGCAGATTGCAAAGTAAAATTGGTTGCAGCTGTGCAATAGAATGTATTAAAACAGGAACATGTTGCCGTTGTTTTTAACAAATCAGTCACAAGTGACAAAAAAGGTTTCTCGTGTGAATTTTGAGGGTTAACATTCTAAGTATCAACAAGTGGTTCCAGCTGTAATACATTGTAAAAAGAGCACAAAATTAACAACCTAATAACCCCCATCTCCCCAAGTCTTTCATGATAGACAAAGCCAGCTATCATACATAAAAAAAAAACACCTGACTGCTTGTTCAAGTGCTGTCTGTTCATGCTTCCAGTTAAATAATCATTAGTAGCCATGAGCCATTTCACTCAAGAATTCTAGGTTTATTGGTGGTGGCAGGGAAAGATTAAATCTCCCACTCCATAGTGCATCTGGGATAAGATTAGATCCCTTTCCTTGCTTATAACTAATATTACATCACATGCTGCATATAAAATAAATTTCTCCGTTAATAGGGAAGATTGGGAAAGAATAAGGGAGTAAGAAGCCATTGCATAACTTGTACACAGTTCTAATCTCATTTATGGATTTGAGGGATAGCAGAATTTGCTATTAAGCAGGACTCTAATGTACAATTATTCATTTCTAAGGGATACATATTAACAATTTCAAAATAAAGATATTATCTTAAAGTCAATTACACATTCAGGAACAGCTAGCAGTAGAAGGTGTGTTCTTTTTTAAAAGTGCAGATGAAATCCTGTATGTTCGAATGTTTCTTCTTAATTCAACCCTTAGCAAAGAGAAAGCCACCACATCAGGAATTGTGAAAACAGATATATATATACTAGCTTTTGACATTCTACAACTTGGAAAAGTTCTTTGGGAGGTTAACTTAGGTCTAATGAAAAAGTTATTACACATCTACTCCCTTATTTATTTATTTATTTATTTATGAGACTTATATACCGCTTTAAGTGCAAGCACTCTCTAAGCGGTGTACACCAGTAAGCAATGTATATATATATTTACATTGCCCCCAACAATCTGGGTCCTCATTTTACCTACCCCGGAAGGATGGAAGGCTGAGTCAACCTTGAGCTGGTAAGTAATATAGTAATCAAACTAGCTTTATGAATCATAGTAGAAGCAACTTTAAACAAAACGATGTCAGAAGAAGATGCTCTGGCTACTTCTTGGGCAGTCACCTTCATGCTTTTTATGAGTACTGCAAATGTGTTTTTAAAAAGCACTTTTAAACATAATCTTTGGGTATTTGTGGCCTTGGGCTATATTGTCTACATAATTCACCAACTTGAAGATGGGAGTTGAAATCCACACATCTTAAAGTTGCCAAGGCTCAGAACACTGATCTAGACCGAATTCCAAACTTCCTGGCAGTAAATTAGATAATATATACTGTAAGTCAGATCAGCTAATTGTGGCACAATCATTGGGTAGGTTTTGCCCAAAGTTCCAGTTTTACCTTTATTCCTAGTTATTTTACTACACAGACGTAATTCAAGTGGCTCAGGTATCATAAATATATAGGGATAAATTCCATATTTTGATATGGAGCTAATGAATGTTGCTGGACTAATAAAGCTAACTAGGAAATGAATAAAGATGGGAAAGGTCTATTTATCTATGTATGTATCTAATAAACAGAGGGCATTTTTTAAAAATGTAGTTGATGCATTTTATTTAATAATAATTTATCCAAAATGTGGTGTTTTTTTTTTCATTTTGCCTCGTAAGACTAAAAAGCAGATGCCAATGAGTAAATCTAAGTTTGCTCAATGGGACTTGTTTTTAGGTTGAGATGTTCCAAATTAAAGGCCAAATTAAATAGAGCCTAGGGTTGTTTTGGGAGAAAATTTCAGAAGATTGCAGGAGCAATATATGTATAAAATTCACCCTCCATAATGAGTGGAATCATAAAGTTGGATCGTCTTTGTTTGTGGGAAGGTTTTATAATTTATAAATATAAATATATAAATTATAAAACCTTCCCACATACAAAGAGGATCCAACTTTATGATCCCACTCATTATGGAGGGGGGATTCAGGGACCACTGCAACAATTCTGCCCTTTATTTTAGAATGATTTCTTAAAGCACCAATAGAAAGTGTTCTCTCTGTAGATATGAACAGAAAAGCCAGCCCAATTAAATTAGAAGTGTATGACTTAACTGGTCTGTCATCACCATCTTTATTGATAATATTGCCTCTATTTCAAGCATTCCAGCAATTGACTTGCAGATTAAGACCTAAATGAGAAAACGTAATGGAGAAGGCTCAGTACACAGAGTGTACATGGAAGTATAAAACACACAATCTATAGTTACAAATTGATTCCATCAGATTTACTGTACAGTTCTTTAGGAAATAATAGGCAGCCAAAAAGAAAGTTTCATTTGATAGCAAAATTAATTTGAAAGAGAACCAAATGTGCAAGAGAGATACTATACCAAGGACCTCAAATTTTCTTTGGCATGATCTGGGGAAAAGAGAATTGAGTTTTGACAAATTATTTTCATGTCTCATTATGCTGCTGATGCAGTGCTACTTTGCACATTTAAAAAATATGTAAAGGGTATTTTTAAATATGTGTTTCATATAAATATTTTATTCAATATGCTGTATCTGTGTATACAACAAAATGGTAATAAACACAAACTGTACAATGCAGACAAACTGATTGCTTATATGTATGTCAATTTTGCAGTACATACCAACAGATCTGATACATATAGCCTACTACATGCAAGTCATTATTACCATCCTTTTCCCCATGCAAACAGATGAGACAAACTTAAAAAAAATAACTAAAGCACAAGGAACCACACATTCTCTCCTCTGTGCTGAAATAGATTTCGATTCTCAAATAAGCTTATTTAAGGTCCTCCCAGTCATGGAAGGCGTGAAGGCAATCTACATCCATTACAACAAAGAGAGGAATACGTGTGTTCTACTTATAGTACAGTGTCAATCATTTACATATATGAAATCGGTCTTATTATTAACTACATGGCAGTATGGTTGACATAGCAGTATGGGCACAAATGTAAAAATTAAGGGAATGTGTTGCAACTGGCAAAAGAGAATAGTTCCCTTTGGTTGACCTTGACTCTGGCCCCAAAGCTTCTTTGTACATGGAAAGAGGAAAAAAGTGCCCCAGCAGAAGAGTTATGCAATGAGTACAAGTCTGGAGCAACCTACAGCAGGTATAGAAAAAAAAATCTTGCTGGCATTATAAAATGAGTTGATAAATTGATGTCACCCCACCTTATGCTCGATGCCTTATGCTTGGTTCCAAGTCCTAAGGTAATCCACAAGCCCCAACCTGTCCCACTTCATACATCATCATTAAAATGAAAGGGAAATAATACATTTCACACTTTTTATTTTGCATTCTTATTTTAAAGCTTTCAGTTGCGCAATACAGAAAGTATACTGAAAATCAAAGTAAGCAGTCTGTAATAACTGGGGGTCTAGAAAAAAACAACAACACTTCACAATTCAGAATAAAATGTGGCGGGCTAGCAGACCTAGGCAGACCCCAATTCTGTATCTACTATGCAGAGCATCTGCAAATGGCATGGCTTCTGGAGTCACCCAGGCCACTGTTGATCCATTTGTGGGGAACCAGCATTACTCCTTTCTACCCTATGTGGGGATAAAATCAAAAAAGCCTTCTTCCCAAACATTCCTTCTCTAGAGGCCAAGGAGGAAAAGAATGCTTATGGTTCATTTTTGTGCACCAATTCTTTCCTTTGTTGTAAAATAACTTAATCTTTTTTGTTGTTTTAAAAATGCTACTACATTCTGGAAACAGAATAATGTTTAATGTCCTTCACTCATGTGGCTGAAAGAAATAAACTTAAAACAGCCTCTTACCATGTATGGAGAAACCCAGAAATCAAAAGACCGAATACTGTTATATATGTATAACCTAGTAGCAATTTGTAATCTATTCACACATATCTTAAGGACCTGTTCATTCAAATAGAAGCTGATATCAATCAAGATTCAGGAGTTAATTCAAAGTTTAATCTGTTACCACCAAACCAAATAGGAAATCTGAACATTTCATAATAACTATGAAAAGTAAACCAATATTTAAATCCACTTTGGAAAAAAAGTTCCAAAATTGGAACTGAAAATAAACATATGTGCAAATGCTTAGACGTTTCAGAAATGATTTTCTAGAACAAAAATATATTTTGGTCCACATCATGCTTTCTGTTTTCAATTTAGTTCCCCAGTATCTACTTTTAAAAATTTATCCATTTGTCTGAGATTATTTTTTAAGAATAGCCTGTTACTATTCTTTCCTTTTGGCTTCAAGACTTCCTATCCCCAAAATACTAGTATTTATTTCATTTAGTAATCAAAGGAGAAACATTCTTGACCTTGTTTTTTTGTTAGAATTTTCTTAAATTTGTAGAATACAGGGAAAATCAAAATAATAAAAGATAAATGCAAGGCACCGAAAACCTAGCAATTTGGTGGCCATAATATCCTAAGAAGCTGGTATAGATAAAACAATATATTGCCTGGATTTTGCATGCTAAGCTATCAAAGAAATGCAAAGGAATCCTTCAAATATGTTTAAAATCTTTCCTCTCTTTTTAACACTGAAAATATTAAAGTATAATCTGTTAACTACCTTTTGCATTGGTGCTGCAGAGAAAAACACAACTTCCTTGCCCATGCTTTGCTGAGTAAGAGTGAACTACAGCCATAAATAAAGATGGGATTACATTTCGTTGTTTAAAACAGAAGGAATCTATTGTTTTGAAAGAGACGTAGGTAGCACAATTCCCATTCATTCTAATTTTTTTTCTTTTAAATTTCAGATAATGAGTACTAGTAGATGAAAAATGAGCCTTAATTCAGGCCTACAAGGCCTACAGAGTTCTTTGGACCCACTTCCTTAAAAATATGTGGGTCTTGCTCGCTGGGCAAGGCAAATGTTACCATTACCAGTAAGTCTGTGATATGTATAAAACACACACACGCACACACAGGGGATATCAAACATTGGCCTTGAAAGATTGTTGACTAGCCACGTGTGATGCTTTTCCCTCCTCGGGAACATACTGTACTATATTCAGGCGGAATCCTTATTTGCAATGATCCTATCTTTTACAGGTATGATCCCTAACAGGGTTTTGAAGGCTCCCCTAATTCTCCGATTGCTTTCCAAAACCAAGCCATCAGCAACACTTCAATCTGAGCAAAACATAATCCCTGCAAAGGAGTCACACAGACAGCGGAGCAAGCAGCCTCATAAAAAAGGGGAGGAAGAAAAAATCCATAATAGCACAGGTTTTACAGCATCTATCTAGAAATTACTTGTTATTATTCTGTGGGCTACAAAATTGAACTTAAAACACGGGGGGTTTCCTGGGATCCAAAGGGGGAATTATGGGTAACTGTCAGCAGGCAAGATATCAAGTGTACTTGTGAAGTATGCCATTCACATGAGGTGTCACAGTCACAGAAAAGAGATTAAAAGGCATTCCATATCTGGTAGGGCATTCTATGGTCGGAGTTCAGCTGGTCATCCAAAAGACTTTGCTGTGGGAGGAGTTACAGATTTGGAAGGAGCACAGAGCAAGCCCTTGCTTGCTTCCAGCCAGTCCGCAGACACCAGAGTGGGATAGTCTTGGAAGGATAAAGTGCTCAGCTGTACATAAGAGAGTCCAGTAAGTCACAACATCCACGAGGCTCTGGCTATGTGGTCTTACTCTTGTTCACTGGTTTACCTCCATTCATTATTGCCGATGCACTTGTGCTTTTACTTGGTGTCACCCCAGCCTTTGGCACTGTTTCTCCAACATCATGTAGAGAAGGTTCTCGGTACATGGCAACTATAGTGGTTAGGGAGAAAAGAGAAGTTCATGTTAAGTCAAACATACCAACAAAGTTTGTTTCTGTACTTATTTCAGTGCAAAATATCAGAACACTCTTCCTTAACCCAATGCAGAGCTGTTTTTTTAAAATAGAACACCATGTAAAACAACACATACATAGTGACTTCCTTCAGATATATCTACGATTAAAAAGCAAAGGGTAAATGTGTGCAATCTAAGCAAAACTGATTAAAATTAAAGACATTTAAATTAGAATGTCTGTCTGCCCATTTTCAAAATCTATTTTACTGTTTGTGGAAAAGTCTAGGAAGGCAGGTGTATTATTTGGTTGCAGCAAAAACAACATTGTGACTAAGATATATTGTGGCACAAAACTCTTTTTTATTAGAGAAAATATGAATTTTCAGATACGATATTGTTGTCATTACGGACATTTGGTGGGATGAAACCCAGAAATGAAATATACAGCTAGAGGGATTTAAATTATTTAAAAGAACAGACCAAATAAAAGAGAAGGTAGTGTTGCACTATATATAAGAAATAACATCTGTACAGAAATAGAGCACAACAATGATGAAAACTGTCTTGAACGCATTTGGATCAATATAAAAGGATAAAAAATGACATTGCCATAGGTGTGTAGCATAGGCCACCCAACCAAACAGAGGAAATAGATGAACTTTTTGCTAGTCAGTTAACTAAAGTATGTAGGAAGCACATCATCATAGTAATGGGGGACTTTAACTACCTTGACATCAACTGGGAATCTAACTGTGCACCAAGTGGAAGATCAAACAGGTTTCTGACAAACCTAGCAGACAACTTTGTCTCCCAAAAAGGAAAAAAGAGAACTAAGGTATCAGCCATATTGGACTTAATTCTCACTAACAGAGATGAAATGATAGAAGGTGTTGAAGCTATAGGAACCTTGTGGGGGAGTGATCATACAATATTGGAATTCAACATTATGGAAGCACAAGCAATAGAACAAAGTCAATCTACAGTGTTGGACTTTAAGAGAGCTAATTTCAACAAACTTAGAGAGAGCTTGAGAAGGATTCCATGGATGAGAATCCTCAAGGGAAAAACAGCCCAAGAAGCTTGGGAAACTTTGAAAAGTGAGATTATAAAAACCCAGTTTAACACAATACCAATGAAGAAATAAAATAACAGCTCTCAAAAGAAACCAGCATGGCTGCATAAAGAACTTTCTGATAAACTGAAAGACAAAAAGGACAAGTATAAAAAGTGCAAAGATGAACTGAGGAAATCTAAGGCTCAAAATGAACTAAGACTTGCGACAAAAATCAAAAATTAAAAAAAAGCTTCTTTCAACATGTAAAAAACAAGAAAAAAGTCAAATAAACGATTGGTCCATTAATGGGAGAAAGTGCAAGAAGATGACAAGCAAAGGGAGAAAGCAGAACTGCTTAACGCATTTTTTGCATCTGTCTTTACACAAAAGGAAAAAACAGTCCAACCTATCAAAAACAGTATCGTAAAAAGCAGATTAGGAATACAAGTTAAAATAGACAAGAAAATGATAAGTGAGCACCTGTCCACCCTGTACAAGTTCAAATCACCAGGACCAGAGGATTACACCTCAAGGTTCTGAAGGAACTGGCAGACGTGATCTCAGAACCACTGAACTATATCTTTCAAAGATCCTGGAGCACTGAGGAAATACCAGAGGACTGGACAAGAGCTGATGCAGTTACCATCTTCAAAAAAAGGGGGGGAAATGGATCCAGGAAACTACAGACCTATCAGCCTGACCTCAATATCTGTGAAGATTCTGGAAAAGATAATCAGAAAACTGATTCCATTCCACTCCATTCCATTTGACTTATTATCTTACTTCAGGTTTCTTTTGCTTTTACAGGCTTGCAAAGGTCATAAATGCAAGGATTGGTTATCAAGTTACTCTTTCATTAAAATTGCAATTACGAAAGGTCACTGGACAGAGCAGTACCTTAAATGAGGACTAGATGTATAATATCTCAGATACACAATGGACTATACTTTGGAAGAATCCTAGGTTATGTTCTATATCATCAAAGATCAAGACAAGTTACATGCAAGTGACCCATCAGTGATATTTGACCTCTATACACTTTAAAAAAAAAACCTATTACAGTTATAGACCAGCATTACAAATGAGAAGCATTCAAAAATGAAATGAAATGAAAATACAAGATAATATTTAACAATTGGTGGTGGATTGTCAGTGGGATGAAGAGATTAACAATGTAGTAAGGCAAACCAAGTATTGGGACAGTTTGCTCCACTCCTATAACATAAGGCAGTACTGATCAGCACAAAGAAGCATCTCATAGAAAGCATATTTGTCCCCGCCCTACGTTACCAGTGCCAAAAATGGACACTTATAACAAAACATAAGTGGAAATTAGTCACTATAGAAATGAGATGTTTAAGGAAAGCTGCTGGAGTGACCAGAAGAGATAAAATCAGAAATGAGACTATAAGAGAAAGATTCAATTTAAGATTGGCCTAGGACCAATCTTAAATTGCCTACAAAAACAACAAATAAAGTGGTTTGCTCACCTGAAGAGGATGTCATGGAATTTCATGCCATACAAGACATATACAGAAAGAGGAAAAGGTCAAAGAAAACAAGGCAGATCCAGAAGAAGATGGAGAGACAACATCAAAGACATACTACAACAACATCAATTAACAATGGTTGAGGCCGCCAGAAGAGCAAGAACCAGAACTTTGTATCTCTCTTGTAACCCAAAGTGATAAAAGAGGAAGTAAAGAAGAAGAACAGTATGTATACCGGAAAATTCAATTAATGCAGGGATGTCAAACTCAATTTCATTGAGGGCCGCATCAGCATTGCGGTTGCCCTTGGGGGGCTGGGTGGGTGTGGCCAGAGTGGGTGTAGCCTACTGGGTGGGCGTGGATGGAGTGGGTATGGCCTACTGGGTGGGCGTGGCCAGTTCTACATCATTCGCATCAAGGTTGCCTGTGAGGGCCTGGGCAGGAGTGAGACAGATCTGAGGGTCTTTGGTAGAAGGGAGTGGGACCGGGGCAAGTGCCAAGGCATGGTCCACCAGGGCAAGTGCCAAGATGGCCACCACAAAATTGTACATTGGCTCCCAGCTGGCATGGGCCAGGGCCAAGGCAGCGGGGGCCGTTCCCTCACTGTTTCCAGGATGGCTTCGCGGGCCACATGAAACCACTTTGCGGGCCACATCCAGCCCCAGGGCCTTGTGTTTGACATGTCTGAATTAATGTCTCAATATGTATTTCCTGCCATTATTTACTGAAGTGACCAAACGTATTAAAAATAAGATAACTTTTCAATTCATGATAGTTACAGAAAGAATAGCTACAGCATATTAGAAAAATACAGAGGCTTTATTACTGTTATGAAAACCCACAGAAAAATGTTGAAATGGAAATACCAACATACAAAAGATGTGAGATGTTGGCATATACAGTATATGTCTTGTTTGCTCTGTCTATACAAAATTTGCTATTGGAATTTTGACTTATTTTCTATCTTTTTAATACAAAATTGGTTTAGAAAACCAATCCATTTTTTTAAAAAATAATTAAGATATATGTGTTACTGGAGCAGCGCAGTGACCTAGAGGTGAAGATCTGCATCTGACTTGGAAGGTTGAGAGTTCAATCCAACGCTATCAGGGTGCAAAGAGAAAACATCTGCTGAAAACTCCACATAGGCATCAGGAAGGGTATCCAGCCAGTAAATGCTCAGCTCCATTCAGTCACCTCGACTCCACCCCGAATAAAAAGGGATTAAAGGGTCGTAAAAAGAAAAAAAATGTGTTTACTGCAGAATCTTATATGATTCTTTCCTGTAATTGCTTCCTGGAAGTATCATGTGACCATGGTATCTGATCAGATGAGGATTTTTTTTCCTCTTGTAGATTAAATGAGATTTAATTGCTAGGAAAAATGGGCAAAATGCAAAAACAAATCAGGAATAAGCCAGGATTGGTAAACCAGCAGTAAATCAGTTTTTCAACTTGTGGTTAATTGTTAGAAAAGCATTTTTTTTCAAAAGAAATGGGCTTATACTATAGTACCAAAGAAACAAAATTATGGTTTACTATGAAATGCTAAATGTCACAGACATATTTAATATTATGGTTAATCACACACTCAGCCAAATATTTAGACTGGATTTGACATTTTTATCTACTTATCAAGTCCAGGATATAAACTGTTCCACGTAAAGTTGCTTTTTGCAATTGACTGATGGTGTTTTTGTCAACAGTATTCAAATGGGACTCTTATTGCTTTGGATTGTATTCAAGATACCAATTACTATTGTTACTATCTGTATTTTCTTTATTGTTATAATAATACACACAACAATGTGAAATCACAATTGCTACTTTTTTAGCTGGTGCTGGCCTTCATATGCATTGAGACGTCATTATTATTATGGTTGGTCACAGGCAGTCAGATGTTTACACTGGTTTTGGCATTTTTACGCCAAATAAATCCTTCCCAAAGAGCTGGGATAGGGAGATGTTGTTGTTTGATAATGATAAAGCTATCATTGCAGGATGCAAGCTGTTTCAAACAAGGAGGCCTTTTTCAATTGGCTCACGGTGATTTTGTCAATGCTGCTGGTGTTCAAGTGGTGCTCCAGATGTTTTGGGATTGCACCCAAGGCATTTATTACTACTATTATTAGAAATGAAGAAGAACATATTGTGAGCCCGTATTTCCTCAGGTGATATTTTTTCATTTCACCTTGGACTGACTTTTTCTTTGGAATAACAGAACTATAGTATTTTGAACCTTCTAGCAAAATCATTCATATACGTTATCTCAGAAATCCTTGCAACAGCTAAATAAGAGCGATCAATACTTTTCTCACCCCACAGTGCTTAAAAAGACTGAGAAGAAAAGAAGATGGCTTATCTAGTGTTACTTGCTGAGTTTTTAGCAAGAATGGGAGAGTCTTTCTCATGTTCAGACTTGGTGGTACTGGAATTTGCTTTCAGAAAAGCTTTCCATATTCTTGCCCAGTTCAAAGATTGCCACCAAAGAGCTTTTCATCCATATTCTATTCAGGTAGGAAAAAGAAAACCAGACACAAAACACGAAGTAGGGAAATATCAAATGGACAGTTAGGAAACACATGCAAGGATATCAGAGTTGATATCATTTGAAAGTCAACTTGAAGGGCGACAGGTTTTTGCAATGTTTTGATGCACGCAATGCTGTGTCAAAGTCAGCTTACCTTCCAATGGCTTCGGTAGAAAATGCGCTGCTGGTTTTGTTTTCTTCACTCTGTTGCCTTTCATGACTTGTCCTTCTTTGTTGAGTCCCAAGAACCAGGCTCTACCTGACTCTTGCTGTCTATACAGCATCGATGAGTAGATTACATAATAATTTTCAAAAACAGACTCCTTAAACTTACATTCTGGGGTAAAAAGTTCCTGTGAGAGAAAGAAAAGAGGTTAGAGGAAAATTCCAACCAGTGTCCAGTGGTTATTTTTTATATTACTTGCTGCTATTCTGTTTGCGACGTTTAATCCAGGTGGAATTTTGCAGAGTGCCACAATACTTGGGCAGATCCTGGCAACTGAATCCATGCATTTTTTTTTTTACGTTTTGGACACACCCATTAAATGAAATGAAAATCAGTTTCAGAGTGTAACAATGAATAGCTGCAGATAGTCCTTGACTTACAACAAGTCGTTTAGTGACTGTTCAAAGTTACAACAGCACTGAAAAAAGTGACTTGTGGTCATTTTTCACAGTTATGATTTTTGCAGCATCCCCATGATCAGGGGTAGGCAACCTTGGCTCTTTTATGACTCGTGGACTTCAACTCCCAGAATTCCTGAGCCAGTATGGCTAGCTCAGGAATTCTGGGAGTTGAAGTCCACGAGTCATAAAAGAGCCAAGGTTGCCTATCCCTGTCTATGATTATGTGATCAAAATTCAGATGCTTAGTAACTGGTTCATATTTATGACCGTTGCAGAGTCCTAAGGTTACGTGAACTGCTTTTGCAACCTTCTGACAAGCGAAGTCAATGATTCACTTAACAACTGAGTTACTAACTTAGTAACTGCAGTGATTCACTTAATAATTGAGGCAAGAAATGGGACAAAACTCAATGGGACAAATGGGACAAAACTCAATAAATGTCTCATTTAACAATAGAATTTTTTGCTCAATTGTGGTCATAAGGACTATCTGTATTTTGTAGACTCTGACTTAAAGATCTTGAACTGTATTCAGCAACCAAGGAGCTAATGCCTATCACATCATCCATGAGGCATAGTGTTTATATCTCGCTTCTCCTGTCCATCCAGAGTAAAGTAAAAGTATCTGGCCTAAAACTGTCTCGTGCATTTATATTTAAGACATTAAATGTAATTTTAGGCTTTTACAATCCCATTCACTTAAAATTATTTTTATTAACAATGGGCTGCTATTTCACTTGAAATGCAGGAACTGCTAGTAATTCAACAAAAAACTTCCGCTGAATTATTTTCTAAGAAAATGGTACACATTGAAAAGGAAAGAGTAAATTATCTTTACATCAGACTTTAACGTTGCGAATCAAAGCATGGATTAGAAATGTATAATATAAGGTACAATATAAGTGAATCAAGGGAAAAGTTCATCATCTGAAGGAGAAATCTATTCCCCCCCCCCCCAAGTAATGAAAAATGAGAAGGGGAAAGCAAATAAAAAGATATCTGTCAGAACTGCCATCTCACGCCTGCACTTTGCATTTGCTAGCTGCCAGTCTGCCATAAACTATGGGGGGGGGGGAAGAGCTGGATGGGAAGTGGGGCTGATGACTCATTGTACCTAGACATACAACTTCAAGGTCAGACAGCTGGGAAAGGCATGCACCCCCACACCGGCCAGTCTATAGTTGAAGAGACCATTCCCGAAACATTTTCTTTGAATTTGATTGGCCAATGAGGGATCAACAATGGGAAGGGACAAAGGGAGAAAAGTTAACCAGGAAAGTTTGGCGCATGAACCTCAATTCTGGCTTTGCTATACTGTAATCCACTTGGCTTTTAGTAAAGTAAACCTTTCACACCAAATGGAGTCGAGAGTCATTCTATGCTGAAGGGACCAAGTTGGGGCAGGACTGACAACAACTTTCTTTCTTTTGCATTTATGGGATAAATTCAAAAAGGCTGCAGATAAAGAGGTGCTCTTCATTAATGTCACCTAAATATTAATGGGTGAGAAAATAATGCAAGAATATTTGTCTTAATTACTGAAAGAGTACAAATTTCAGAAAGCTATATCCCTGGAATAACGGAATGTTTTATTTACCGTATATGCCGGTGTATAAGATGACTTCTGGAAGCGCTAAACTCGGCGCCAAAGACGGAGGTCGTCTTATACGCCGAGTCGTCTTATATGCCGGAAATACTGGTAGTTTCCAGCGTATAAGACGACGTTCTAGGAATGCGGCTCGGTGTCAAAGACGGGGGTCGTCTTATACGCCAGGTCGCCTAATACGCCGGCATATACGGTAATAGAAAGAAACATTAATAAATCCAACTAGAATTGAGCACGTTTCAGTTTTATTTATTTATCCATGTGTCAGAAATGCCACCTTACATCTGCTTTCTGCAATCGCTTTGGTTCCAGTCTGCTATGAACCCTGGGGGGAGGGGGAGTGCCTGGGGCGGGAGTGAAAGCTAGGAGAGAGAGAGTGTGTGTCTGGCCAAGACGGCGTCCCAAGGTCATGCCACGATGAGAAAAATGCAGCATCAAGGCAGCCTACAATCAGAGTGGCTGTTTCCAGAACATCTTATTCGAAACACGATTGGACAGTAAGGGACCAGCAATGGGGAGTACCTAAGTGGGGAAAAGTTTTTACTCCGAGTTTTGGCACATGAACTTCAGTTCTGGCTTTCCTTTACTGTATTCTGCTTGACCTTTAGTAAACTGTGCTTTTTCCACCAAATGGAGTCAAGGGTTGTTCTTATTTAAAAGTTTGAGCTGATGCGTGGCTGACGCCATGTTTGCTTCTATTGACAAAATTGATAGGGTTTCAACTTGCTTAATTCTGCCCATATTATCTATGCATGTACATAAATAATTACAACTATCTCTGAAAAAAACAGACAAAGCCACACTAGAACTATGTACCAAATGTGGATAGTTTTTTTTCTTATTTTCTCAATAAATAAATGAATTAACTACATGAACACTGCCACCCAGTTGACAATAGACATCAGTTTGAATAAAAGTGTCTAAGAGAATCTAGAAAAGTTTGATTAAATGTAAAGGACATTTTAAAAAGTGAAATGTATCCCATTATGGGCTATACCTTGGCATGCGATAGAGGGAATAAGGAGAGGAGTCAAGATGGATGGTGTTTCTTACGCACAATTACTTAGATGGGATGGTAAAAACTGGCAGTTAAAATCTTTGGAAGATCTAGCACAAGAAAACATTATATACTCATGGTTTCAGTATAGACAAATAGTGGATAGATGGAAGTTAGATCGTAATGTGGGTTTACTTAGAGAAGATGAAAATTTTCTTAAACAAGTAAAAGATCAAAGACGAACTCATATTAAGAGAATTTATGGGGTGCTAGTAGAATTGGACTCAGAGGCAGAATTAATTAAAGAATGCATGATTAAATGGGCACAAAATTTTGGTGAACCAGTTCTACTAGATACCTGGGAAATTATTTGGGTGAGGAATGTCAAATTTACACAAGCCCAGAACTTAAGGGAGAATTTTTATAAAATGTTTTACAGATGGCACCTTGATCCACAAAAAATGTCTCGTATGTATCCTGACTTACAGCCCAAATGTTGGAGATGTGGTTGTTTGGATGCTACTTACTATCATATTTGGTGGTCGTGTAAAAATATAAAAGCCTTTTGGATTAAGATATGGTGGAATATTCAAAGAATTTTTAGAAGGAGGGTAAAATTTACCCCACAATTGTTTTTGTTAGGTATTGTTACTGATTGTGATACTAAAGAGACCACATTGATGTTAAATTTAATTACAGCTGCAAGGTTGTTAGTAGGGCAATGTTGGAAGAAGGAATCTTTGCCTACTTTGCAAGAGTGGTTTTTTAAAGTTTCTTATTTGGCGGAAATGGCAAAGATTTCGGCTTTCTTGAAGGATCAATCGCAAGAGAAGTATTTTGCGGTATGGAAAAAATGGATAGATTTTATACAATGTAAGTTGGATATTAAAAAATATTATTTAGTTTTTCAATAACTTATATTTAAAATTTAAAACATCTTATAGATTTTATTCCTTTTTTATTTTTATTTTTTATTTTTATTATACTTTCTTTTATCTTTTTCTTTTTTCCTTTTCTTTATTCTTTTTCCTCTCAAGTATTATTCTTTTGGTATCTATGTTTTTATATATATATATTATTGTTAATTATCTTATAATTTGTTTAATTAATGTATTTAATATTTAGATTTATTCATGGTTTATATCTTTTTTTAAGATTTTTTGAAGAAATTTCAATTAAGCCTATGTTCAGCTCTGGGAAGATCCGGGGAGGGAATGGGAGGGTTGGGGAGGTTTGGGGATGGGTTGTTTTGTTTTTGTAAAATTTCAAAAATTCAATAAAAAAAAAAGTGAAATGTATGTATGAATAATTTTTAATGTCAGTTCTTTACGACTTACTGACATGGGTTTGAAAGACGTTGTGTGCCATAACAAATTTCAAGATGACTCATTGAAGTCAATTGCCAAATCCGCTTCTCAAGTTGTACAAAGACTTCCAGAAGAGCCTAATACGCTTGATATATGGGTTTTGCATATTACTTTGCATGTCCCTTTGGTTTTGCTCCAGGTTTCAAAAATTGCTGTGGTTCTTGATAGGTAAGATCAACATTGAGAAGACCTCATTGTACTGTATATGTCTCAACATGAAGCAGACTAGAACTTCATCCTAACTTCTTTGGAAAGATGTATTCACCAGATACAGATTTCCTATCAATTTTTTAAGCTTAAAAAACAGGGACTCATAGTTTTCTGTGAAAGTGAATGTAATCAGGACATTCCTGGGCAACCAGGAGGGAGGAAAGGAAGGTGGCAGGAATTACCTGGTATTGCTTATGGTGCATAGTTAAGGGGAAAGAAGGTTAGACTGGGCACAGACACCCTTCAAGAGCAAGTAACTCTTATCAAAAACTGTCAAAGGACATCCCTTCCCTGCTTCAGGAAGGAGTTTACTTCCCCCCAGGGCAGCTCCCAAATGTCCCTTCACAGATTAGAAGGAGTTTCCTGTTAGAAAGGTTTCCAGAAACACAGAGATACCATGGCTTGAATTTGTAAGAAGGAATGACAAGATCCCCAGATGTCCTGGAAGAAAGCCAGTTGGCAAACTCTTGGATTTCAGAGCTGTTTCATTCCTTTGAGTCATTTCCCCCTTCATCTTTCAGCTTCTTTCCCTTGCTTTTCTCTGTC